TATGCATGTTTNATTGATGAATCTTGGTCAGTACAATTTTGGTTATAATTGGATAAGTAATAAATATAGCGACTACATAGTATTTATCCAATTTTGATAAAATTTAGAAAGAATGTGTACTTTGATGAGATCTTGTTTATGCGTAAGTTTGATGATAACTAAAACTTCCTGATGAAGATCTTGAATATGAGAATAGTCACTAAAGACTCTTTGAACATTTCTGTCAGCTGCCAAGACATTGTTCTTTTTCTGACAAGCTATCTATTCCAAGGATAATAACTTAGGTTAACTAGGATCATTTTTACCAGCTGGTCTTTGGACAATTGATGAATAATGAGGAAATATGAATTATTCAAGGTCACCAGAATTTTACAAGCCATCCTAGAAGTATAAAGGGGTCACAACTACCATTTGTTTTGCGTAACCAAGCTCATGACATTGGGTGGCTCAAACTGTTTGTGCTAAAAAGCAGCACAAAGATTTTTTAAACATTTGTTAAATCTAGACTAATTGACACCTGCTTTAATTGAATTAAAATGTTTATTGTCATTTCAGCCGTCAGGTCAGCGGGAACTCGATAGCGGTCTTTACTATTGGGTTTGACATGTATACACCACATGCAGTTAGATGATCAGAATAGCACGGTCAGTATACAAATATTTATATATTCCACTTAAATGGAAACAGTCTGAACTCTGTAGAAGGCACAATCCTTGACGTATTTTGAAAAAGAGATTGTAGGCTTATGCTGCTGTCCTTGAAAAAATTCTTTTATTGCACACTGCATGGTGATGCCCGTCTTCATAAGCCCAGTTAGGCACAGAATAGATAAAACTCCATTTATTTCATTTCATTTACAATCTCTTAGATTTAATGAGATTGTATGCATGTTTTTAAAACTATTTATGGGATGCAGTTGGAATTGATTTGAGGCACAGCTGTTGATTTATTCTTGTTTTTTCCATTTTGATTTTCAGTCATATCTGCAGTGATAGCGACATTATATTTATATGTTTAAGCATTTCTATAATTAGCCTATCTATGGGAAGTTCTGATATTTGACTGAAAATTTGAATGATGCAAATAGAAGCCCAGAAAATGGCAATAAATAAGTTACCATAAGTAAAATCCCTTTTGTTTCTCTTCCAGGGTTCCAAGAACAAAGTAGCTGGTCTTTAGCTACAACAGGACATTTAAACTGGGAGGTCAATCAGGTTATGGTGGAGCATAAATGTCCAAAAGGCGACTCTTGGAACGAAGCTAGGTAAGAATAATTGAAATATTTCATGTAATATTATATAGCAATACAAGTCAAATTGTTTATACTGTAAATATCAATATGAAAGGGGATTGTAAAGAGATTTCCAATCATTTTTATTTGCATCTATTTGCACATTCTAGTTTTCAAGCTAGGTAATAACTGAAAACATTTCTTTCCCCAGTTATAGCTGGATATCGATTACAAATTGAGATACGTTATAGACAGCAGATTTCCGATCAAAAATCATTTAATTTCGTAGGATAGAAGTATATTCTTGCTTTGATGGCTTGTTATATAGCTTATTTTGGTTAAATCATGTGCTGAAGGGAACCTATGTGGAAGAGATTCCACTTATTTGAGCAAATGTAACCTTGACATATAATCAAATATGCAATATGATAATTGGTGATCAAAATTATAAATACTTAACGACGTAAATGTAGTAATTACAGCTTATCTTAGATATAAAATACACAAAAAGTGACTTTCATATGTAGTAACGGGTAACGGTATGAATCGAATTAAATGAAACTTGGATTGCTTAAGATTTTTCTTGATAAATTTGTTTTTGTGATTTTTAGATGAACTGTTTTTGATGAATACATAAAAGTTGGCATCAATTTTAGAATCTTGGTATACTAATGTTTGAATTATTTATAATTATAGGTGTAAACAGAAAGAGCTTCACTATATAGAAATAAAGTGCTTATGGTGTGGCACAGAAGTTCGCAAGGTAAGTAGACTTATTTCATAATGCTATCCTCTTCAAGGTTTATAATCTTCTAATTCCACATCCAGTGCTTCTCAATGTCAAACTGGTGTCAACTTTAATTCCTCAGCACCTAGATTTTTGAAATGTCGCTTGGTACCCTTAGCTTAAATAAGCTGTTTGACCAGTCAACAAAATTTAACCAGTATCTTTATTCAAGCAAAATTTGTATGTAAGAAGATTGACAGTATTTATTTATAGGTGCTTGACCTTAAATGAAAAATTCAGTATTTTTGTGTCTTTTTTTATAGGTTAGATAGGGTAAATTGATTGGTAATTTACCTTCCCGCAATAGCACTGCCACAATAGGAGTGTTCTGAGGTCATGGCCTGTATGACTCTACAGACCTCCTATTCACAGATGAAGAGGAACAGATGAAGAACAGATGAAGAGGAACAGATGAAGAGGAACAGATGGGCGATCCCTCCACCCATTTTTTGTAAGCTGATCGTACATCTTTATGTTCTGAAATAATAGTATCATAATTGTTTATTAACTGTGTGAATTTTTTTGAAATGTATGTCGATTTGCAAAGACCTGGTGACTTTCAGTATGACATGGCTTAATAAATCAGATATAAAAAAAGGAAGTCCTCATATGTAAAATTATATGGTATTTTGACTTCATACAATATTTATTTGTCTTTTGTTTTTTTCAGCCGTCACGTCAGCGGGAACTCGATAGCGGTCTTTACTATTGGGTTTGACATACACCACACACACAGTTAGATGATCAACATAGCACGGTCAGTACCTACATATTTTGATTTCAGTCACAATTCCTGTTCAATGATTTTTTTACATTATGCAACCCACTCTGAAATTTTTTGTTCATTTTCTTTATCCCTTTAATGTTTACTGGAGTATTTTTCTTGAAAATTTAACTTAAGATGATTTTAGTGATCATAATAATCAAGAAAATTGATTGTCTATCAGCAGAGATATTGGTCAAATGAACATTAGATAAACATAATTAGTTTGCAAGATTTTCATTACTAGGTAAACTTTGATTTGTTTTAATGTTGTAGAATTAACGGAAAGATTCTTTTGCTTAAAACTTTCAGGGATATTTTCCTCTAGATTTCGGTTTACAGTTTTCATTACTTTTTCCACATTCCGAACCTACTTTAAAAATCAGAATCTTTTTTCCAGGGTTCCAAGAACAAAGGAGCTGGTCTTTAGCTTCAAAAGGACATTGAATTTGGAGGTCAATAAGGTTATGGTGGAGCATAAATGTCCTAAAGGCGACTCTTGGAACGAAACAAGGTAAGAATATTATAATTATTATCTGGGATGTGATATTGCAATACTAGTCATAATAACAAATAAACAAACTGTAAATATTATATTTAGCAACATAAGATCAATGTTTGGAAAGCCTATGAACACAAATCAAAATTTTTGTTTGTATGCTTACATTCACCTTTGCTAGTGACAACTAACTTGGATTTTGATCAGAAAGAAATAGAAATATTTTATTTAGGAAAATATCTTCAAATAGTTCTTGCTTTTCTGTGGCCAAATCTCACGATCACCATTTGTTCAGCATGACCAAGTCAAGAGCTCATGCACAGATTCCAACACTCTAACAGATCGTGCTAAAGGACCAATCAACTGTTTGTATTTTGCATTTAAGCAAATGTAACCTTGACATATAATCAAATATGCAATATGATAATCGGTGATCAAAATTATGAATTATTAACGATGTAAATCTAGTAATTACAGCCTGTCTTAGATATAAAATACACAAAAAGTGACTTTCATATATGGCAAAGGTAACGATTTGAATCGAATTAGATGAAACTTGGATTGCTTAAGATTTTTCTTAATAAATTTGTTTTTGTGATTTTTAGATGAACTGTTTTTGATGAATACATAAAAGTTGGCATCAATTTTAGAATCTTGGTATACTGATGTTTGAATTATTTATAATTATAGGTGTAAACAGAAAGAGCTTCACGATATAGAAATAAAGTGCTTATGGTGTGGCACAGAAGTTCGCAAGGTAAGTAGATTTATTTCATAATGCTATCCTCTTCAAGGTTTATAATCTTCTGATTCCACATCCAGTGCTTCTCAATGTCAAACTGTGTCACTTTAATTCCTCAGCATCTAGATTTTTGAAATGTCGCTTGGTACCCTTAGCTTAAATAAGCTGTTTGACCAGTCAACAAAATTTAACCAATATCTTTATTCAAGCAAAATTTGTATGTAAGAAGATTGACAGTATTTATTTATAGGTGCTCGACTTTAAATGAAAAATTCAGTATTCTTGTGTCTATTTTTTAGGTTAGATAGGGTAAATTGATTGGTAATTTACCTTCCCGCAATAGCACTGCCACAATAGGAGTGTTCTGAGGTCATGGCCTGTATGACTCTACAGACCTCCTATTCACAGATGAAGAGGAACAGATGAAGAGGAACAGATGGGCGATCCCTCCACCCATTTTTTGTAAGCTGATCGTACATCTTTGTTCTGAAATAATAGTATCATAATTTTTTATTAACTGTGTGAATTTTTTTGAAATGTATGTCGATTTGCAAAGACCTGGTGACTTTCAGTATGACATGGCTCAATAGCCATGTCTAATAAATCAGATATGAAAAAAGGAAGTCCTCATATGTAAAATTATATGGTATTTTGACTTCATACAATATTTATTTGTCTTTTGTTTTTTTTCAGCCGTCACGTCAGCGGGAACTCGATAGTGGTTTTTACTATTGGGTTTGACATACACCACACACACAGTTAGATGATCAACATAGCACGGTCAGTACCCACATATTTTGATTTCAGTTACAATTCCTGTTCAATAATTTTTTCACATTGTGCAACCCACTCTGAAATTTTTTGTTCATTTTCTTTATCCCTTTAAGGTATTTTTCTTTAAAATTTAACTTAAGATGATTTTAGTGATCATAACAATCAATTGTAAATCTGGTTTGAAAATTGATTGTCTATCAGCAGAGATATTGGTCAAATGAACATTAGATAAACATAATTAGTTTGCAAGATTTTCATTACTAGGTAAATTTGTTTTAATGTTATAGAATTAACGGAAATATTCCTTTGCTTAAAACTTTCAGGGATATATTCCTCTAGATTTCGGTTTACAGTTTTCATAACTTTTTCCACATTCCGAACCTACTTTAAAAATCAGAATCCTTTTTCCAGGGTTCCAAGAACAAAGGAGCTGGTCTTTAGCTTCAAAAGGACATTGAATTTGGAGGTCAATAAGGTTATGGTGGAGCATAAATGTCCTAAAGGCGACTCTTGGAACGAAACAAGGTAAGATTATTATAATTATTATCTGGGATGTGATATTGCAATACCAGTCATAATAACAATAAATAAACTGTAAATATTATATTCAGCAACATAAGATTAATGTTTGGAAAGCCTATGAACAACATTTTTATATGTGTCCTTACATTCAACTTGCTAGTGACAACTAACTTGGATTTTGATCAGAAAGAAATAGAAATATTTTATTTAGGAAAATATCTTCAAATACTTCATGCTGTTCTGTGGCCAAATCTTACGATGACCATTTGTTCGACGTAACCAAGTAAAGAGCTCATGCACAGATTCCAACACTCTAACAGACGGTGCTAAAGAACCAATCAACTGTTTATATTTTGTATTTGTTTAACAGGATTGTCAGTTGTTTATTTCTAATTTTAGGTGTAAACAGATAGAGCTTTATTAGATGGATGTCAAGTGCTTATGGTGTGGCACAGAAGCTCGCAAGGCAAGCTTTTATTTAAAAATTTATCTGAAATCTTAAACCATTAATATATTCTTTATTTGAAACCCCGTCTGCAAAAAAATATCTTGCAACGATTTGCTATTCAAAGTTAAAAAAACAACAAATAAATAGGGTTTATGTGGTCTCTCTCCAAAATTATT